CACATGACAACCTTCTCCACTGGCCCATGTCTGAGTATTTCTCTTGCAGTGGAACCTTCACCTCCTCCCATGATAAAGATAGTTTTTGGACTGAAAATTTTGCATGCATGTTAAAATTTTGGGTTCAAAATTTATATAACAACTACAAACTAAGCAATTTTAACAAGTTTGAACCACCTAACACCTAACTATGAATCGGTTAATAAAGATTGTAAATTATATTTTTAAGGTGAAATTACTTCAGATGATTAAGGAGTGCTGGATGAACAAGTGATTCATGGTAGATGAACTCATCTATCTCTGCACTTTGAAGCTTTCCATCAATTACCAGAGCCTGCAGTGTTGATCAAAAACAGATTTCAGAAAAATCAAAGAAGCGTATATTTTGTTTATTGAAAAATATTTCCTCTCTGCATTATTGAGAAGAAATTTCAACCTTTCCAAAGGGCTTAGTGTCCAAAAGTTGAATGTCCTGGAATTGAGTGGCACCTGTGTGCAAAATACTGCAGCAAAAACGAGAATATAAGGTAATAAAATATAATTATTAACAATTATTTTTTAACTATTCATTTAAAAACCTAAAAAATGATAGAGTTCGCAGATTTATTGATTCAAATTTTGTTTGTAACAAGTCCCTTACATGATTTGGTGGCGACCATATTGAAACAAAGAACCTTTTTTTACTTCGTCAGATATAATTATATTGAACCACCTTGGCCCGACTCGAATTAGAAGAAATACTTAGAACAGTGATTTCATTTTTTGCTTCCTTTTGTCAAATCTTGTCTGAACTTTTCATGGACAAGACTTGGGAAAAAGGTGGACAGAAAATCCCCGTACTAAAATACTCCACACCCCATTTTCACGACAAACTCAAAGAACCCTTAACATTAATCCCCGTTTGGTTTTGCTAAAATTCAAAAAATTATGGACCCCATAAAATATTTGATTAAACTTAATTATTAACTTTAACGTGAATTTTTATGAACTATCTTAGCCGAATCAAAGAGACGCTAAATTTTGAGATATAAGTTGCTTAAATTCTTGCCATCAAAATAATTAAGTAATATGTATAAATGGAAAAATAATTAATACCCATTAAGAGCAAAGCACCATCTCAAGTTTTCTTCAATCTCTTCTTCATACCAGCAGCTCTTTCTATGGCCATATCCATTAATGCAATTCCCATTACTGATAGAAATATCACCCATTTTTGTTCCTCAGAATTCTTCAACGAGATGACAGATACACAAGGAGATATATATACAGAGGTATGTAGCGATATATATATATATAGAGGAGGAGAGATATAAGTGGGCAAGAAAAAGGAAACGTTAAAGGAGATTAATTATTTTGGTTGGCCAATAAAAATGCATTCAAGTAGGTGCTTTAATTAAGAAAACATGCAGAAAATCCTCATAGGTTTTGGAAACTGATATCCAGGAAAAGGAATAAAAGTGAAAAAACATCATGTATGCTATGTCTGAGGTTGATTTCCTCGCGTGGCCTGTCGTGAAAGGATATTTTACCCAACATGAACATAGTTCACATTGTCCATATCAGAATAATGCTATTTATCATCATGATATAAAGCATCGGTAATATATAATAACTTATTATCCCTCACATATCTCTCTCTCCTCCACCATCTCTCTCATAAAAATTAATTTGTTCAATCTCATTATTTCATATAGACGGTCACATCACCGATATTTCATCATTATAATAATAAATAGCATTATTCTATCGTTGTTGATGAATATTATTAAAGTCGATAGGATGCTCCAGCTGGCAGGGAATCTAGTTTGTTTAGTTTGTTATATTGCCAACTGTTTTTCCCGCCTATTTTTCCCTTCTTTCTTGTTTGCTATTTATACTATGTAAACTCGCCATTCTTAATTGAATAAGAGAAGAGATTTCATTCTCCATTTTTGTTTCTACTTTGTAATATGGTATCAGAGCAATACTTCATTTCCTTCTTCATTAAGCACCGATGGCAGATTTTTCAATTCTGAATCAACCTATTCAGAATCCATCTTCATCAATGAATCAATCAACAATTGATGATGTCTCTAGTGCTTATTATCT